AAGTCTAGAGTGAAGCTTTTTGAGTATCTGCTGATAAACTCCCTTTTTTATGTTGATGGTAATTAAACAGATCCCTAAGGAGTCCAGGAGGCACTGTGCAGGGCCCATGCTAATTGTCAGACATGAGACACTGACCAGTTGGTTTGCTCTTGAATAGCTGATGGCGTGCTGTCAGCACAGCAGTTTTATTTTTATGTATTGTGGGCTGTTGTCAGGGCTAACTGGGTGCTATTGTGGCTGAAGATGTTGCGCAAATTGAGGCAGATGGCTCTGATTCAGACACGTGTCATTCAGAAAGGGGAGAGGGGATTGGCCCTGCAAAGTGGGGTCGCAGAGGGTCACAGACCTGCTCTACACTTGTTAGTGTTTTCAGAAGCCCATGTGCAGCAACTTTGTTGTTCTCTGTTTTTTTTTAAAAAAATGGGGGTGGTATGTTCTTTGTGCAACATGGAAGGCTAGGCTGTTGCCATCCCTTTCCTTCCCATCTCTAGGGCCTGGCTGTGCATGCAAAATGAATTAACGGGACTGGAAAAAGTTCATTGTGCTTAAAATGGCTTTTCAGTCAATTGCAGTGCTTAAAAGACTAGGTTTTCTTTTATTTCAATGTAATGAGTAGTTCTTCATGTCTTGGAATTTAGTAATGGAGGATTAGATCTCAAGTTTTCTTTCACAGTATGTTGTTAGGTGTGTATTTAAGGTTCAAACTATTAAGGAGGGAAGGTTTGTTAATATATAAAGCTTGTAATTTGGTTTGGTGGGTGGATGAGGGATACAGACATTTCCTATTGAGCTGTATATTACTTTCATTAGAAATATATATGTTAACAAAACTTCAGCTCTTTCACTTTATATGTAGTTAATGGAACTATTTTAGTGTGAAAACATCTGAGCCTAAATCACCTGTGTTCATAAAATACTCTGCTTACTTCCAGGCAGAGTACAAATTGTTTCTATGCCAAATTAGAGACCATATAAACCTAATTGATTTCCTTTTTTAGGGCATTTAAGCTGTCCTTTTCCCCTTCATATATTTGTGTTGTAGAGTTGTATTTATATTGTATTATAGTGTGTTAATGCTTTAGTGGTTTTGGGGAGGCTTTTATGTTATGGAGATGTCTGGCGATATTTAAACTCATTAAAGTTTTAAAGAAAACACAGCACCTGTTTTTGGTTTTGTTTGAAGGTGTTCACAGATTTTGTTTTCATCCTTTAGGTTTGCAGCTAAAACTGTGCATAGTGGGTCACTGATGCTAGTCACAGTGGAGCTGAAGGAAGGGTCTACAGCACGGCTCATCATAAACACTGAGAAAACGGTGATTGGCTCTATTCTACTGCGGGAGCTGAAGCCTGTCCTGTCCCAGGGGTAACCTGCTTACATCTGGACTTCAGAATCTGGCACACAACAAAAGTGCCTGGCATCCACTACTGCTGCCTTTCATTTATAATAATAGCCTTTCCATCTGGCAGTGGGGGAAGAATACACTCTTGACATTCTTGTCTCCTGTTTTAGAATGCTTTAGTGTGTATCTATCTATTACACAAGCAAGTACTTTGCATCTTTTTTTCCTCTGCTTTCTAGCCAAAGAACATACATTTTACTGTCAGCTAAATTCTTTAATATTATATACAAGGAACGACATACACACACACACACCCCAGCCTGGTGCTCTGCTGTGTTTTCTTCCAATTTTTTCTGTGTTTTTTGCCTGTGTGCAAAGGAAGAGACTGAGTAATAAGGTACTGGAAAATCACAGCAGTAAGCTAGTATTTCAATAATTCAATATGAAAAAGTATACAACATTAGATGTGTGGAGGTAAAGTTAGGAGAAATAAAATGTTGTAATTATGGCCCAAATAATATGTGATTTTGTACCTGAGCATATATTTCTGTCTGATTGTTTTCCACAGCTCCCTTAATCTCCACTTTCTAAAAACTGAAATTTGAATAAAGTCATGTTATTATAAATTTGCTTTCTTCTATTTAATTAGATCTTAAAACCAAAATCTCTATTTAAATAATATTAGTTAAGTATCCTGGTGGTTTGTAAGATACATTTAAGACTTATTTAGAGGGAGGGGAGGGTTGCCCAGGAAGTTTTATTTACTATTTACTTAATTTATATTTTGCATTTCTCCCCAATGAGGACCAAAAGTGGCTTACAGCCTTCTTCTCGCCTTCATTTTATCCTCATGACAGCCCTGTGAGGCAGGGTAGGCTGAGTGTGTGAGAGACTAGCCAAAGGCCATCCACTAAGTTTCCCTGGTAAAGGGGGGGGGGTTTGAACCTGGTTCTCCCAGATCCTAGTCAGACTCTATAACCACTACACCACACTGCCTCTGGTGTACAGCTGTCTTGTAGTTAAGAGTTATGATAGTATTTTTCACAAAGTTTGGAATATTGCAGTAGATTACACAAACCAAATTAATACACTCTTAACTCTGGCTTTGTATTTTTAATGCAGCCTAAATATTTAGACTGGCAAATACAGCCTAAATGTTTAAACTGAATTGACATATATTAGTTTAGTTTTTGTTTACCCAGCCATATAAGAACATAAGAGACGCCAATGTTGAATCAGGCCAAAGGCCCATCTAGTCCAACACTCTGTCACACAGTGGCCAAAAATACCAGGTGCCATCAGGAGGTCCACCAGTGGGGCCAGGACATTAGAAGCCCTCCCACTGTTGGCCCCCCCAAACACCAAGAAGACCGAGCATCACTTGCCCCAGAGCCCCTATCTATACCTTGTGGCTAATAGCGACTGATGGACCTCTGCTCCATATGCCTATCTAATTCCCTTTTGAAGCCGTCCATGCTTGTAGCCGCCACCACTTCCTGTGGCAGTGAATTCCATGTGTTAATCACTCTTTGGGTGAAGAAGTACTTCCTTTTATCCGTTCTAACCCGACCGCTCTGCAGTTTCATGGAGTGCCCACGAGTTCTTGTATTGTGAGAAAGGGAGAAAAGTACCTCTTTCTTTACCTGCTCTTTCCCATGCATAATCTTATAAACCTCAATCATGTCACCCCTCAGTCGTCTTTTCTCCATGCTAAAGAGCCCTAAGCGCTTTAACCTTTCCTCATAGGGAAAGTGTTCCAACCCTTTTATCATTCGAGTTGCCCTTTTTCTGCACTTTTTCCAAAGCTATAATATCCTTTTTAAGGTGTGGTGCCCAGAACTGCACACAGTATTCCAAATGAGGTCTCACCATTGATTTATATAGGGGCATTATTATATTGGCTGATCTGTTTTCAATACCCTTCCTAATAATCCCCAGCATAGCATTGGCCTTCTTTATTGCAGTCACACACTGTCTCGACATTTTCAGTGAGTTATCCACTACAACTCCAAGATCTCTCTCTTGCTCAGTCTCTGCCAGTTCAGACCCCATCAATGTGTATTTATATTTAGGATTTTTGGCTCCAATGTGCATCACCTTGCACTTGGCCACATTGAACCCCATTTGCCATGTTGACGCCCACTCGCCCATCCTTGACAGATCCCCTTGGAGTGCCTCACAATCCTCACTGGTTTTCACCACCCTGAACAACTTTGTATCATCCGCAAATTTAGCCACTTCACTGCTTACTCCCATCTCCAAATCATTAATGAACAAGTTAAAAAGCAGTGGACCAAGTACTGATCCCTGCGGTACCCCACTGCTTACCACCCTCCACTGAGAAAATTGCCCACCTACACTCACTCTCTGTTTTCTATGAACTAGCCAGTTTTTGATCCATAAAAGGACTTGTCCTTCTATCCCATGATTTTTGAGCTTACTTAGGAGCCTTTGATGAGGAACTTTATCAAAAGCTTTCTGGAAGTCAAGGTAAATAATATCTATTGGATCCCCCTTGTCCACATGTTTGTTCACCCCCTCAAAGAACACTAACAGGTTAGTGAGACAAGATCTTCCCTTACAGAAACCGTGCTGAGTCTGCCTCAATAGGTTTTGTTCATCTATGTGCCTACTAATTCTTTCCTTAATAATGGTTTCCACCAATTTACCCGGTATCGACGTCAGACTGATTGGCCTGTAATTTCCCGGATCTCCTCTGGAACCCTTTTTAAAGATGGGAGTGACATTTGCTACCTTCCAATCCTCAGGAATGGAGGCAGATTTTAAGGAAAGATTACATATCTTTGTCAGGAGATCTACAAGTTCACATTTGAGTTCTTTCAGAACTCTCGGATGTATGCCATCTGGGCCTGGTGATTTTTCAGTTTTTAAGTTGTCTATCAGTTTTAGGACCTCCTCTCTCGTCACCTCAGTCTGACTCCGGTCTTTCAACACCCCTCCTGAAATCAGTGGTTCTGGAGTGGGCAAGCACTTCTCATCTTCCACAGTGAAGACAGAGGCAAAAAATGCATTTAGCTTCTCAGCTATTTCCCCATCATCCTTCAGTACTCCTTTTACCCCTTGGTCATCCAATGGCCCCACTGCCTCCCTGGCTGGTTTCCTGCTCCTAATGTATTTGAAGAAAGTTTTATTGTTGGTTTTGACATTTTTTGCTATATGCTCCTCATATTCCCTTTTTGCCTGCCTGACCACAGACTTGCATTTTATTTGCCATAGCCTGTGTTCCGTTTTATCAGCCTCACTGTGACTAGCTTTCCACTGCTTAAAGGAATCCTTTTTACCTTTTACAGCTTCCATTACTTTGTTTGTTAACCATGCAGGCTTTTTCCTATACCTGTTTGTGCCTTTCCTAACTTTCTCTCTGCTGCATTAGCTCTTGGCATAGATTTCGACTGTATACAAAAGCTGTGGCAGTTTGAGCATTCACCCCCTCTGTTACATTCAATAGTCAATACCCTATTTCATCCAAAACATAAAGTAGACTAGAGAGGTGGTGGATAGATATCCTGTCCTAAAAACCTTATACAAGTGCTTACTTTAACAAAACTGGTTTCTGCATGTTGTCATTTTTTAGTTCATTCATTTGGTATACTGGCTGCCCTGCTTGGCCAATGTAAACTGTTCTAGGTCACTGTTGACAGATATGGCATGCAATTGTTGTGGACCTGTGAATGACTAAATCATTTATTATAGCCAATTTTCTTCAATTTAGTAATAGTTTTACCAATGTACATAATACTGATATTGGTGCAAGTCCTTCTTTGTCTCTGGATGGTCCACTGTTTCATCTTCCTGTCTATGGCCTGCTTGAGTCAGTGTTATTCAGGATATGGTGTGGGTTAGTTAAGGCACACAGGAGGACAGTGCTGCATTAGATTTGTTTGGAAGCTGGGGCAGGAACATAGTGATCATTCGATTTCCAGTAAATGTTTGTTTGTTGTTTTTGTGCAGCTTCTTCATAGCTGTACTTTGGATCAGAACTCAAGTTAACGGTAGGGTGTAATGACATTTCTATAGGGCCTCTTTCTATACTTGCAGATTGTGATATCACTGATATATATTGTACATTGTGCCAGTTGAGCCTTTTAAGATCATAAGAGAAGCCAATGTTGGATCAGGCCAATGGCCCATCTAGTCCAACACTCTGTCACACAGTGGCCCAAAATACCAGGTGCTAACAGGAGGTCCAGCAGTGGGGCCAGGACACTAGAAGCCCTCCCACTGTTGACCCCCCCCCAAGCACCAAGAATACAGAGCATCACTTGCCCCAGCTTGAGAGTTCCTATCTATACCTTGTGGCTAATATCCACTGATGGACTTCTGCTCCATATGCTTATCTAATTCCCTCTTGAAGCTGTCATTGCTTGTAGCCACCACCACTTCCTGTGGCAGTTAATTTTATGTGTTAATCACTCTTTGGATGAAGAAGGACTTCCTTTTATCTGTTCAAACCCGAATGCTCAGCAATTTCATTGAGTGCCCACGAGTTCTTGTATTGTGAGAAAGGGAGAAAAGTACTTCTTTCTCAACCTGCTCTATCCCATGCATAATCTTATAAACTTCGATCATGTCACCCCTCAGCCGTCGTTTCCTAAAGCTAAAGAGCCCTAAGCGCTTTAACCTTTCTTCACAGGAAAACCAGGAATCACCGTATCCCACTGATTTTCCTCATCCCACCAAGTTTCTGAAATACCCACAATGTCTATTTTTCCCTCCAACACCAAGCATTGCAACTCCCCGATTTTACCTCAGACACTTATAGCATTTGTGTATAAACACTTATAGTTTCCCATTCATGTTAAGCCCACAACCTTCCTCTTGCTGCCTCGAGACCTTGCCAGGCAGTCCATATCGTTAGCCACAGTCTCAGTGGACAATTTTAATCCTTTTCTTTGTAGAGAAGTAACAGCTACCCCTTCATCTCTTTGAGATGAGCCATCCCAAACCAGAGACTTTTCATCTCCTGTTGGCTTTCCCCCAATATTCAGTTAAAAACTGCTCTGCCAACTTTTTGTTTTTAAGCGCCAGCAGCCTGGTTCCTTCTCAGGACAAGTGGAGACCATCCCTTTTGTACAGCTCCCTCTTGTTCCAAAAAGCATCCCAGTGCCTAACAAACTTGAACCCTTCCCCCCTACACCATCGTCTCATCCACGCATTGAGACTCCTGATCTGTGCCTGTCTCTCCAGCCCTGTGCGTGGAACAGGTAGCACTTCCGAGAAGGCTACCTTGGAGGTCCTGGCCTTGAGTTTCCTGCCTAGCAGCCTAAATTTTTCCTCCAGGATCTCATGACTTCATTTCCCCACATTATTGGTGCCAACATGAGAAACCTTGGAAAATCTATGGGCCTGAGGATATAAAATGTGCCCAAATTTTACTGGGGACAAAATACGAAATTTTTCTAGTTGTGGTAAATTCCCCCCCCCTCGCCAACCCCCAAAGACTAACTCTCAGGACCAAATAAGTCCAATTTATCTGATCCCTGTAGTACAATTCCCATTCTAAAATTGCTCCTCTGTGATCACCACATGTTTTGCATCGTAACATGTACATCGGTTG